TATTTTTACTTGTAGGTTATTTCACTATCATTTCATTTCAGGTTTATTGTTTCTTAATATAATTGTTATTTTCAACTATTCTTTTTTAATTATTCTTTTTTACTTGTTTCAGGGATTTCAAATCATTTTATACAGTAGATAATGGAAGTCCGAACTAGTGAAATTCATCACGAAACATTGTCAATCACCTTCAAACAAATATTTTTCATATTAGATTCGTCAGGAAAATTGCGTATCACCATAAAAATATATAAATGGAGAAGAGTGTATCTCCAAACGAAAATGAAATAGTAAATATTCGTGTTTAAATTACACAAAATTTCTTTATATATAAAAGAAATGTAATATAACAGCACCTACCTCAATATGACCATGTCAAACAAATAAACGTTTTATCAGTTCTATCAAGTTCACTAGTTTTTTGCACAGCCCTCACTTTCAGCACGAATCAAGAGGCTTATAGCGGAGTTACTTCACGTCACTCTGACAGAGATACACTGATTACTGATCTAAAAATTTACAGAATACTGTTCGCTATTTAGAATACACAAATTTCTAATCAATAGCTAGAAACAAATTTGAATAGATGGCGGGATAAACTCATTTTCAATTAAAAGTGGAGTTACACCATTTTCTGGTTTCACCGACGATATTCACTTATTTTCAGTTTTCAGTTTTTAATACCTATTCACAAACTTAATGTTCAGTACTCATATTGATTACTTGTGTTTTCTCGTTCAATTTTTCATTTTTTATTGAATTTTTATCTTTTTTCTATCCCTATTCATGAACATTTAATGTTTCTTGGAATAATGAAAACAAACAGTATCATCCAAATTATTTTCGTGAAAAAGACCTATACCTAATTAAAATATTCAAGGAATTATGTTCAGTGACATAATATAAGATTTACAGAAATTAATAAGTATATGTAGTAGAAAGTTAGTGGAATTCTGAGTTCAAATATGTGACTGAAATTATATATACAAAAAATGTAGAAATATCCCAAAGGAAGGAAGAAAGTAATCAATTACAAAAAAGTAACTCTATACAAAGATGTATAAATCATGCAAAGTAACTTTTGGACAAAAACTGGAGAAGAGCTCCCTCCAAACAGCTGAAAGCTTCCTTTCTTTCTTTGGAAGACTTCCATAATTTTTTTATAGAGATGGAGGAGTAGAAATGCAAAACTTTTGTTGCCTAGAAATCCTAGAAATTATTCTCTCCTAAAAGAATACATCTTTCAATTGAATATCCAATCCAATGATAATTTTCAATTTCTAGGATTATTCAGACTCATCATCTACAGTATTATCTTTCAGTAATACTTACATTCCCCAAATGTGAGAAAACTGAAAGTGACGACTGCTACAAAAACACAACAAAGAACGTCCAAGTAAAATCCAAAAGCAGAACTGGCTGATATGTACATGAACCAAGCACTGGTGTGGGAATCCTGATGTTTATCGAATTCATCTCGTAGAATATCTTGAGCACCAAATGATCTGATTGTGGTCAAACCTTGCAAGGTAGCGTTTAGGTGGGTGAAGGCTGGACTTCTCACTGAAGAAAATATTGAAAAATGACTGCACCTATTTTCTAGGTGGACTAATAAACATTTACCAATATAAATACACTGCGAAGTAAGTAGTACTTTGATATGTGTTACCAAAACTCATTATTCATCAAGGTATACAAAAACCGTTTACTTCATGATGATTTTTCAGAATTGTTTATGTGCAGTTTATGCCTATAACGTCATATTAACGTAATTTCTTATTAAAGATTGAGGAAGATCGTATTTTTGTACGGTGTGTTGTGAACAAATATTTCGTTAATCTGATCGTGATTATTTGTATCTATCACGAACTTCTTTATTAGCTGATAGATAAAGTGGTATGTTTCAAGTTGTTATTGAGTACAGATATATTACTGAAATTCTTCAATTTTGGCCGAAAATGGATTCTTTCAAATCAATTAGTTGGGCATTGAATCTTCTCTCTTCATAATAATTTGGAAATCAGATGCTCTATTGTTAACTGACAAGTACTATAGGGTGAGTCTAAAGTGAATGGACCTAATTGACAATCCGTTACAAACTGCGAAGATTTATTGTGTTTCACACCTATTCTTACTCAACCGAAACCAGCTTCTCAACGAAGACGATAACTTCATTTAGTGAGTGATTTTTCAAGTCAGCTGGCAAATGTGAGACTCTGCCAAACGCTGAAAACCTGGTCCGATCAGCGACGGGGAATGAACAGAGTATTTTTCCACTACCAGGGCCAGGGTATGAATTTTCTTCTTTCTGAGGTTGATAGATCATGTAAAATTTTCCTCAATCTAGTAGAAATATAATCTGCGGTTATTCTGCGACTACGTTCAGGTAACCTGTAGGTTGAAACCTGAACCTATAGCAACTCTGGTAGCATAATACTAAAGAGATTCTAGTTCATTGATCGATGCTGAGGTTGTCGTATGTTCAAAATGCACCTCAATTTGGGTGAGTCATCATTAGAGTCTAAGCGTTTGCTGACTGGTTCAGACGGAGTTTGTTCCTTCTCCTGATAGGGATTCTGCTTCTTTTGGTGCAAAACAGATTCATATTATATCTTGCTCTTGGAGATAGATCGCTTCTTGGCGACACCACCTAGCCTTCAAGGTTTGTTAACAGAATCAAGAGTTGAAAAACTGAGAAACTCTTGCTCTTTATACAATATCACAGTTGAAGTTGCTAAGTCGACCACCGTCTTCTCTGTAGACTCAGAGTCAGATACTTTGGTTATCTTATGAAGGCAGGTACGTAGACAAAGGAGATTAGCACACGTCAGAGCCTCGCGTTATGGTGATAAGGCTTTCTAAGACGAGAAGGCATTCGGTATTCAGAATATTTTGTTGGTGATATGAAATGAGCTCGAAGTCACTCATACCTCTGATACACATACTCCACGGGTAGCACCTCACCCCTGAAATTTTTTAATTTTTTTTTTCGGGTGTGAAGCAAATTGATTCCTGCGTTTTTTGTTCTTCTGGATATTGATGTTATTTGAGTAAATTTATTTTTATCATGAGCTGCGTTGAAGCTTTAAAAAATGTATTTATCGAAATATAATTTATAGAGGATCAAATGAACTTTAATTTCATTTGATTGTGAAAAACGTGATTGTATACAGTGTGACCCATTTAAGATGGAAGCACCCTTATAAAACTTACATTTTTCAACCGATTGGAATGTTTCTTTTTGTGTAAGGTAGATATTCAAAAAGTCTATTAGGACACCAAATATGAATAAATCTCAATTTCCAGGGCCAACTAATCTTATTTTTCAAGGTCAAAAATCTAAAAAAATTACTAGCGATTTTTTTAGAAAAACTCTGACTACACCACTGGATTTGTGACATTTTCAAATGGGTAACATGTAAATTACGTTGAAATGCGTCAATCAATAAAAAAGTTATAAAGGAATGAAATTTGAAAAATATGCCGTTTAATCAACCCACCAATTCATGTTCAGGAATTTTATGAAAATTCTGTATACACCACTGGATTCAGGATGTCTTGAAATAT